TGAACACACACACACACACTCGCACACGCATACTTGAACACACACACACACACACTCGCACACGCATACTTGAACACACACACACACACACTCGCACACGCATACTTGAACACACACACACACACTCGGTCTAATCCTCTTTTCGGAGTCGTGGACGGGAGTGAGGTTAAGTCGAGACGACAGCGAGGAGAAAGCCATTCATAACCCACACACAACAAAGGTCCCCCATATAGCCTCCGCAAGCTGTGTGGTGCAAGTGCTGTTCGCGAGCACCTCTGAAGGCCGACACGGCGCACGAGGGGAGGTCCTGTCGCCATTTCTCCAGTGCTGACATTGACACACCGCACCACGTGCCGAATTTACGGCTTAGTCGACCTAGGGGAGACTCGGGAACGGTTCAGATATTCAGCACTGATGTTTGGCGCCTTAAGCGAGAATAAAACTCGGGTTCCGTACGGTTTGGAAGCACGGTGCGCTAATCACTGTTCCACCGCTCCCAAAAGACAAAGATGCACCGTATAGCCTTAACAGAATGTTGGGAAAAGTGCCGTTAGCGAGGAGCTATGAAGGCCGGCACGGCACCGCTCCCCACACACATTCAGACACGCACACACATTCGAAGTCTCTAACCCTCCTGCACTTACCTTCCCTCCCTCTCCGCTCTCCCCTCCCCATGCACGCTCTCCCCTCTCTCCTCGCTGTCTAAGAGGATTAGTCTGGGTTAAGCTTAAGTCGTTTTAAACGGACCTTCGTTAACAATGATGATGATGCTACTCACAATCACGGCTTAGATCTGACTCAAAGCCAACGGTGCACACACACGCACTCACACATACACATAGAGGTACAGGCATACAAAGACAAAGGTCCCCCGTATAGCTTTTAACAGACTTTTGGGGCAAGTGCTGTTAGCGAGCATGCCGTATGAAGGCAGGCACGGCATACGAGGGGGTGGGATGGCCAGCACCACGCTCGGCCGACTTTGTGGTAATTTTTACACTTCGCATTTGAGGTTGAGTCGAACTAGGGGGTGGCCCGGGTTTCGTTCAGATAATGAATCGTCACTGCTGTCGTTGAGCAGGAAATCGAACTCGGATCGCCGGTTTTGTAGCGCGGTGCGTTAACCACTGCGCCACCGCTCCCCACGTGGGTAGGTTAAAGGGACATCTCCGTCTGTCTCTCTCTCTGTGAACAGGCGCACGGAGTATTGTGCAGCACTGATGCCGACGAAAACGACTTGAGTTTTGGTCCAATGAATTGTGACGATGACGATTGGTGTCGTTCTAGTCGTGCCGACACCGACTGCAGTTGTCTTGTTGTTGTTGTTGTGTGCGGCCGCCGGGCGATGTGGATGGAGGGGGTTGCGATGGTGGAGGAGGAGGAGGAGCAGGGTCAGACTCCAGAATGACATCTTCTGTTTCCCCATTGGCTTCACCCAGCATTGTCAGAGAAGTAGGAGGGGGAGGAAGAGGAGGATGAGGAGGAGGATGAGGAGGATGAGAAAGAAGATGAGGAGGATGAGGAGGATGAGGAGGATGAGGACGTAGAAAAGAAGGATGAGGAGGATGAGGAGGAAGAGGAGGGGGAGGAGTATGAGTAGAAAGGGGAGTATGATGAAGAGGAGTATGATGAAGAGGAGGAGGAGGAGGATGACGAGGGGTAGGAGTATGAGTAGAAATGGGAGTATGATGAAGAGGAGTATGATGAAGAGGAGGAGGAGGATGACGAGGGGGAGGAGTATGAGTAGAAAGGGGAGTATGATGAAGAGGAGTATGATGAAGAGGAGGAGGAGGAGGCGAGGTGTTCACGCTGGCTAACTGGAGAAGGACGAGGGCAGGAAGCCGGCAGGTCGATGTGCTCCGTGTGGATGCGTCTACATCTTGTGCGTGTGTGCGTGTGTACGTGTGCGTGTGCGTGTGTATACGTGTGTATGTGTATACGTGTGTGCGTGCGTGCGCGTGTGTGCGTGTGTGTGTGCGTGTGCGTTTGTGCGTGTGTACGTGTGTGTGCGTGTGTATGGGCGTGTGTGTGCGTGCGTGTGTATGCGTGTGTGCGCGCGTGTGTGTGTATGCGTGTGTGTGTGTGCGTGTGTGCGTGCCAGTCATCTCAAGTCAGCCAGCCCACGGCACCAGGGGTTACCTCCTGCCGGCGAGCCTAACGTGGCCTAAAAAGTGCACCTAGCCTGGCACAAGCGCCGTGGTGATGTCACTGCCACTTAGTGGTGAATGGCGGTTGTTGTTGTTGTGTTCAGTTTGTTGTCCTTCCAACCCGCACCTCCGATTAGCACGGTTAGCTACGTACGGTGCGAAAGAAATTCAACATACATATTACGTTGTTGCATGTATGCATGTGTACTGTATATGTATGGGTCTTCGTAGGTGCTCGATAACAGCACTTACCCCCGGTACTTGCCCCAACAGTATGTGAAGGCTATGCGGGGGATCTTTGTCTTTGTTTTTTATGTATGGGTGTGTATGAGTGTATTTAGGGGCCATCCATTCAGTAGGTACGCAAAGATCTGTCAAAACCTGACCCCTCCTCCCTGTACGCACGCGGACTTTTTACACCCCCACCACCTGCGTACGTCCGTTTGACCCCCACCCCTCCCGAATCCTACAGACGGCCGATATTTAATCCACGCAGAAACGATCAAGAATTCATAATATTAACGTGTTTAAGCTATCAAACTCATTTGAAGGCCAATGTAGACAAATTATTGTCCAGGCCTCAACCCCCACTCCCCCGTTTCCTATGCGTACATTGTCAGTAGACCCCCCCCCCCCCCCATACGCAAGCGTACGCATTTGGGTTAACCCCCCCTCGCCCCTCCATGCGTACGTACTTAATGGATGGCCCCTTATTGGAGGCTGATCGTTTCCCCAGGTGCGGTCAAGGGATTGCTCCAGATTGGTCAACCACATCTTGTACGCTGATGATCTTGTAATTGCAGTTAATTTACTGAAAACAGTTGGAGACATGTCGAGCTAACCGGGAACGCGCCACAAAGATGTGGGCCCATACCATCACACAAAACCAAAACGCATGTCCAGTTATTTTTTGCCATCAAACACCACCTCAACTCCCAATCAGTGGTGGAGCAGTTTTGTACCTGGGCATTGTGCTTATGGCCGATTCTGGTTTAGCAGCAGAGGACTCACTCCGAATCATTCGAACGGCATTATCTTTTCATCAGCTGCGTAAGGCTGTGTGGAAGCTGTCTGACCTGTCACTCTATCGGAAGCTCTCGTTCTTCTCGGCCACAGTCATTCCCTTCCCTTCTCTGTGCTTGCGAAATCTTGCCACGTTCAAGCTGGCATGCCTACGATCCATCCTCAGAATCCTGGAAGAATCCGATGAGCTATGAAGCTCTTTTTCACGGATGGATTGTGTCAAGATCTCAGAGATTATTGAAAGATCTGGACACTGTCCCAACGGTGAGCTCCTCCAGCAGGCGAGGCTGCGTTGCCTGGGTCATGTAGCCCGCATGCCAAATCAACTTCTGTTTGGCCGGATAGAGGGGGCTAAACGAGCGTGGCAAGGGATAAAGAGATTGGAATGATGCGGTACGGGAGAATGTGGAGCTTAGTGGACCAGCGGTGTCAAGATCGGCCTCTGTGGAGGAGGCTCGTGAAGGACGCTGCTGGGCACTTGGAGGATGTCGCCCTCCAACAACAACAGCGGAGGGCGGAGGAGCGACGCTCACAACAACGAGCGGAGCGCCGGAAGGTTAAAGCACAGCAAGTTGGCACAGTAGGGGGTACAGGTGGTGCATCTGCCAGTCATCTCAGTCAGTCAACCCATGGCACCTGGGTCTGTCCCGTGACCTGCCAGCGAGCGTTGGACCCTTATTGGCAAACGGCGGCTGCTGTTGGTGTACGCGGTGTATGTATGGTGTGTGTATGGTGTGTAAGGTATATATGTATGGGGGTGTATGTATGGGGTCACCCCATACACACACCCCATACATACAGCCCATACACACACCCCATACATACACCCCATACACACACACACCATACACCCCCATACATACAGCCCATACATACAGCCCATACACACACCCCTTACATACACCCCATACACACACACACCATACACCCCCATACATACAGCCCATACATACAGCCCATACACACACCCCATACATACACCCCATACACACACACACCATACATCCCCATACATACAGCCCATACACACACCCCAATATGTATGGGCTGTATGTATGGGCTGTATGTATGGGGTGTATGTATGGGCTGTATGTATGGGCTGTATGTATGGGCTGTATGTAAGGGGTGTATCTATGGGGGTGTGTGTATGGGCTGTATGTATGGGCTGTATGTATGGGCTGTGTGTATGGGCTGTGTGTATGGGCTGTATGTATGGGGTGTGTGTATGGGGGTGTATGTATGGGGCTGTATGTATGGGCTGTATGTATGGGCTGTATGTATGGGGTGGGGTGGGTCTCTCTCTGGTTCCCAGGGTTTGAGAGATGCAGAGTGAATTTCACGGCGTTCAGAGAGCGCAGACGCGACCCGTGAGGAGGGAGAGTGGGGGGGGGGCGCAGGGGGGGAGAGGGGGGGCGCAGGGGGGGAGAGAGGGGGGGGGGGGGTTAGAACTGAGAAACTGTCGCGAGAGCAGAAGGAGAGAGGGTGCAGAGATATCGAGAGAAGGGAGAGTACAGCAGAGAGATCAAGGAGGGATAAAGGAGGGACAGAAAGCTGCTGTAGAGACATTTACGGATACAACGAGGTGGTGTGGGGGGAGGTGGCAGAGGAGAGATGGAGGACAGAGCTAAATAGACACTCTGTATAGAGTAAGCGAGACAGAGGGAGAGAGAAGAGGAGATTGACATTGAGAAGAGAGAGAGGGGAGACAGGAGAGGGAGGAGAGAGCGAGAGAGAGAGAGAGATTACAGACACTCTGCACAGAGTTGGAGAAAGTGGGAAGCAGGAGGAGGGAGCAGAAAGAGGGACGGGGAGGTGAGAAGAGAAGGGGAGAGCGGTGAGTGTGAAGGGAGAGGCAGGAGAGGGAGGAGAGTGAGATTGTAGACATCAGAGGGAGAAGGAAGAAGGAGAGAGGGAGGGTAGGGAAGGAGAGAGAGGAGGAGAGGCAGGAGAGAGTGCGAGGAGAGGTAAGGGGAGAGGCAGGGATTGCTGGAGCTGATTCTCATCTCGTCGCGTCCCGCTAAGGTGAGGCCGCATTTAAATCAGCTGCAATCAGCACGTCCACCCCACACTCACCCCACACTCACCCCTCACCTTCTCGGTCACTCACTACCATCACCGCCAATTATCAACACCACCACCACCAATCACCACCACCACCAATCATCATCATCACCACCATCACCATCACACATTATGATTGATAAAGTTCTAGTTACGATATTACACCGACAGTGTATCTCTGTACATCCGAGTGCGGCGCTGATTTGCAGCAGCGGTGGAAATGCCACGTTACCATGACGGGAGTCGGTCTCTACACAGTGCAACCTCAGTTTGACTTCCCACTAAATTGGAGCGACTCGTTTTTTTATCGGCTTCCAAGTGATGATGTGTGTGCGTGTGCATGTGTGTGTGCACGTGTGCGTGTGTAAACGTGTGTACGTTAGTGTGCGCGTGCGTGTACTCGGTGCGGTGCGTAGTAAACATCGCCATTGGGGAGACAAAGGCGGCCGGGCGTGGAGTTGGCCACCCACCCCCTCGTGTACCGTGCCGGCCTTCATAGGTGCTCCTCGCTAACAGCGCTTGCCCCAGCAGTCTGTTAAGGCTACACGGGGGATCTTTGTCTTGTGCTGGAACGGTGGTGTTGGGGTTGGCGCGCTACGAACTCGCCGACCCGAGTTCGATTCCCGCTCACGGTCCAACACCAACAGCCAGTGACGATAATGATCTGAAGCGGTCCTGGGCTTTCCTTGGGTCGACTCAGACTCAAATGAGTACCTGGTGCGATGTGTAAACATCGTTACGAAGGGAGACAAAGGCGGCCGTTCCGTGTCCGCCTCCGTCGGTGCTCGCTAACAGCACTTGACCCAAAAGTTTGTTCAGGCTACACGGGGGATCTTTGTCTTTGTTGGTGGCGAACATCAGCGGCGATTGTCTGAACTGGTCATGAGCCTCGCCTAGGTCAACTCAGCCTGGAATGAGGGACTTGTGCGGTGTGTAAACAGCAGCACGTGTGTGTATGCGATTATATTTGTCTAAAATATAACGTTTAATTTTCAGTGAATTTCTACAAAGCTTGTGAATGAAAAAAAATAACGATAATAGGGTCTCGTCCGTTACGGAGAGACCTCGACGTTTCGGCCCACTGTCCTTCTTCAGGAGACACGCGTATAAGTGCCAGAATATACTTTGTGTGTGCGTATTGGTATATGGTTGTCTGTCTCTGTTGGTTTCCGGCCAACATCAGTGGCGAATATCTGAACCGATCTTGGACTTCCCCTCGGTCGAGTAGCCGCATCGTGTGGCGTGTAAAACATCATCAGCACCGGGGAGACAAAGGCGGCCGGGCGTGGCGCTTGCCCTTCAGAGGTGCTCGCTAACAACACTTGCCCCAACAGTCTGTTGAGGCTACACGGGGGATCCTTGTCTTTATATGGTTACGTGGTTGAACCCAGTGGCCTCGGTTCGACTCCAGGTGATATCAGTGTTTGAACCTTACCGGCTTCCCACTAAGTCAACTCAGCCAGAAATGAGTACCTCGCGTCGGTGTGTAAATACGTCAGTACTGGGGATACAAAGGCGGCCGGGTATTGTGCTGGTCACATCACCCACTCGTCTTTCTGTGGTTGCCTTAATAGGCGCTCGCTGACAGCGCCTTTCCCCAACGGTCTATATATGACCACAGTATCTATGTTAACGGATCATTGTCTTTTTCGTGTGTACATTGTGTATACGTGAGACATTTCAGACTGTGTATGTCTGTCAATGTGCCCGCTCAAGAAACAATTTCACCGACGAATATTTCAACCGGTCCTGGTGCCTCCCCCTAGGTCGACTCAACCTTAAATGAGTCCCTGGTGCGGTGGTGGTATAACAAAGGCGGCCGGGCGTGGTGCTGGCCACCCACCCACCCCCTCGTGCGCCGTGCCGGCCTTCGTAGGTGCTGCTACTCGCTAACAGCACTTGCCCCAACAGTCTGTTTAATGCTACGCGGGGGATCTTTGTCTTTGTGTGTGTGCTAGTACGTCTCTGAATGTGTGCTGCGTACGCGTCTGTTGTCTGTGTGTATTTGTGCGCACTGTACGTGTACACGTTTTTGTGCGATCTGTACACGTACATATATTTATACAGCACGTGTGTCTATGTGTGTATTTGTGCGTGTTTTATATGTGCGTATGTGTATATATATGTGTGTGTTTGTGTGTGTATAGCTTTACGTAGCGTGTACATATGTAGAGTTGTGTGCATGTGCGTGTGTACGTGTACAACATGTATTACAATGATTCAGATACCACAAATAGTAGTGTTTGATCCATAAATTATGTACTTTCCATGAGTTTTAGATTCTATATTATTTGATATAGATTCTATGTACATTTTATTAGACCACTTCCGTTATTACCGGATAGATGGTTAAAGCATTTCATGCTTCGTAATGTGGAGTATAGGTGGAGCGGTGGCTCACTGCGCTATGTATCTGGGCTCCCTGAGTTCAAATCCTGGCCACGAGTGATATATGACCTGGGGTAACCCCATTCACCAACCCCACACTGACCAGCGTGGTGAAGTATGGTCAACACCGCCCCCCTCCCTACCTCCCTCCCCCACATGTGAACGACACACAGGGTGGGGAAGTCTTGATCCAGCAGTGGAGTGACCATGGGTGATCGTGAAGATGCGAGCTGAATCAATGATACATCGGTGCGCTAAACTCTTGTGCACGTCACTGTTTAATTTCGTTTGGCTATGCAAGGTGGTGGAGGGTCTTACGACACACAACCGGCCAGATTATTCCGTGGCCTATCCAAAACATAAATTATAGGTAATAATATCCATACTATATGATACTTTCAACCTGTGTTTACTATTAAACTCAAGAGAAAGGAATGGGAATATATGTCAATACAAGACCCTCCTGACAATAGCGTATGAGACTCAATGAGTATTTAACGTGTACATATTATTGTTGTATTATAATTAATTCATGACTTACTAATTATACATTTACTCCGTAGAATTAAAAAGTTAACTTCACGAACACAAATCTGTATTCCCGAACTTAGCAATCGAAAGCAATGCCAGGATAAAACGTGGCAATATATATAGCGTTCAAATTAAACTGCATCTTAAATACATGAGCTGAACAAGCAATATTGTGTTGGGGAAACTGCACGGCCCGCCGGTGTGTGCACACAAATATGCACGCTGCGCCTATGTGTGCCAACATTGTGTTGAGTGCGTGAACAAAGACAAAGATCCCCCGTATAGCCTGAGCAGACTGTTGGGGCAAGTGATGTTAGCGAGCACCACTGAACACACACGCACAGGTGGACGCACGCAACCCACACGCACGCGTTCGTATGCGTGCGGATTAATAATTATCGCGTGATTTGAGATGCGTGAGATTTAAACGGGCAGTCGGTATGCAACTAAACGTTTGTGCCTTAATATGAATTAAAGGTAAACAAACGCGTGTGTGTGTGTGTATTCTGGACATATGCGTATACGATCATCATAAACTCACATGTACTATATGTGAAATGTATATGCATAAAGATTATGAAGGTACAAAATAATCCCCCGTATAGCCTGAACAGACTGTTGGGGCAATTGCTGTGAGCGAGCACCTATGAAGGGCCCACCCAACACTACGCACGGCCGCCTTTGTCTCCCCAGTGTTGATGTTTTACAAACTGCACCAGGCACAGTTACTCATTTAAGTTTGAGTCGACCCTAGGGAAGGCCAGGTCCGGTTTAAGATGTTCGTCACCGATGTTGGCCGTGAGCGGGAATCGAACTGGGGACTCAGGGTTCGGAGCGTAGTGCGCTAACCACTGCGCCACCGCTCCCCTATGACGTGTCTTACATATAGAGTTGTGTTTTAAATACACGTGGATATAGACACAAATGTATACGTTCATACATCATTTAACATAATTTAAATGTATAGATTTAAATGATTTAAATGTATCGATACGCGTGCTGTCATATATAAACGCACATATACACAACCGTCCTGTATATATATACTCAAATATAAAGGCAATTGCCGATGCCCATTTGTACCGTGTGTGTATAATAATTCGTACAGTACTTCTATAGAGGGTTGTCCGATTGTGTTTATATTATTACCGTTAACCGAATGAGAAAAAACCGGTTAAAACCGGTTAGCAGATTTCTGCACATATAGAAATTCCGCGGCCATAAACATTACCCTTCTACGTGTATACATGACACACACATATATATACAATTTATGTGTTTGTTACCAACAATGATGGTGTGATGGGTCAGCGCACTGGACTTGCCCTCCAGATGTCGCCCATTCTACTCGATTTCCCGGTGCGGCAGTTGAAACATCGTTGACGAGATTCTTAAATAAAACAAACCTCCTCCATCCGTCCACCGCCTCTGTCCACGCAGCAGTAACACACAGCGGCTTCACCAACCAACCAATCAACAGTCTACAAATGATAGCTCATTGAAGTGGGCTCATCATCATCATCATCGTGTGAACATTTATAGCGGCCAGATAACTCTAAACGCGTGACGTTGATGCTAAACGTGTAGGGGAAAATCCCGGGAGGGCGCCGAGAAAAAATCCACGCTACCACGGGGAGAGAGACACCGCAAACTATACAGCAGGCGTTTGGGTCGGGATCGAAAACACGGCCTCCTGTAGACCAGGCGAGGTAGTTAACATCTCTCATGGTCAGGATCGAACCCACGACCTCCTGTAGACCAGGCGAGGTAGTTAACATCTTTCATGGTCAGGATCGAACTCACGACCTGTTGTAGACCAGGCGAGGTAGTTAACATCTCTCAGGGGTCAGGATCAAACCCACGACCTCCTGTAGACCAGGCGAGGTAGTTAACATCTCTCAGGGGTCAGGATCAAACCCACGACCTCCTGTAGACCAGGCGAGGTAGTTAACATCTCTCAGGGGTCAGGATCAAACCCACGACCTCCTGTAGACCAGGCGAGGTAGTTAACATCTATCAGGGGTCAGGATCGAACCCACGAC